AATATATTCATGCAGTACATTTCAGCTTACACATTTTTTGTGTATTCTAACAGCTCTGTTCATATTACATATAAGAAGGTATATTGCAGTTTTTAATAGATGTTACAGACAATTCATAACAACTATGACAAAAGAAGAAAAGTAAATGGTACTTGAATCGTCAGGGAATAGATTCTAGTTGTACATTGTTATCTCTTTATATATGCTTTGTGTGCGCAAATAGATGAAACTTTTATCTTTTATATTTTTCTCTCATGTGCTTTCTTTACTGTGTGATTTTCGCTGTTTTAGTTTCCCTGTTGTAATTTTTATTGCTATGACATCTCTTACTAAACTTCGTCTATATTGATTTTCGGTGGCCGGTCAATTCGTCGCAGAACAATTTGTCGCAGAACAATTTGCCGTGGTCAATTCGTTTCGGGTCAATTCGTCGCATGTCAATTCGTCGCAGTCAGTTTGTCGCGGACTATTCGTCGCATAATTTTCTAATGGAAAAAGGAAAAGGCTATTTAAACCCTGGCGAGGGAATCGTCCCTAGTGGTTAATCGTTTTAACTATGAAATTACTGTTCTTATATGTAATCGACGGTGCTGATTACGAATATAAAGTCGGTTTTTGCTCAATTTTAGTTTATCAGTCTGAGTTGAAAAACTGAAGCTTTAGAGATCCGAAAATTAAATTTTTTCAAAAAGATTTTCTGAGTAAACATTTTTTTTGTCTCAGTAAACGTACAGATTAGAGGCAGTTTGATTTTGTCATAATTTTCGCTCGCAGAAATATTTTAACTTTCATCGTCCTCAGCATGATAACCATTGTCTTCGTTTCCACTACTGCTGCTTGTATCTGATTCGTCGTAAACGTCATCATCAATTGTTGTATTATTAGTTACATTGCTTTGTTTGAATAATTTGCATATTTCTAAATTATCAATCAATACTTTTGCTGTTTCGTATGCACTTAAAATAATTTTTTCTATATCATCGTTGTTACTTTGTCAAGGTTATTATGATTGCTATTATTTAAATTTTGATTGTCTTAATGTTAATGATAAATTGGAAATAATAAACAATTTTTATTATCATTGGCTGTTTCGAAACATTTAATTATATTGAATATGGATAACTATTGGGCACATTTAAGAAAATCGTTAACTGCAAAATTAACTATCGTCGAATATACTCCACTCAATGATTTTGCGTTTTGAAAAATAGATTCACAGGGGTGAGAACTACACAAATGAATACTGTTTATTGTATCTTTCGGTAGTTTTTTTTCTAATACTAACGTTATTATGTATAGAAAATTATGACCATTAATCTCAATAGAATATTGCGCTGCATTAGTGATAAAATGTTTTTCTATTGTTTTTTTATTAGTGGTACTGTAGTACAATGTTAACCACGATAATCTACACACAAAGATACCAATCCTGAATATTTTAAGCGGTCAATAATTGTTGTTATTTTATCAACATATGCTATAATCAGATAATTTAATAATTACAAATAAACATATAGAGATTTACTATCAAGAATTCGATTTAATAATTTTACAATTGTTGATGATGAAATTTTTAATACACGATGCATCGTTTCGCCGATCTTTTCGAAATAAATCGGTACGAACAAGACCGTGATCAAGTTTTGGACCTGTTTTTATCAATTTGACTAGATAGTCTAATTTAATAGCTTGATGACTACCCATCATCAAATCGCATTTTTTCGATAGAAAAGTTCCATTGTTTGGTCTTATTAACTAAACAGCTGAGTAAAACGGAATCGTTAAATTACTCGTTGTCCACAATAATTTAAAATTAACTCTTCTAAAAAGTCTTGCAAGGACAATGTATGTCAGAAACTTCTTATCAAAATTCGGTAAGTATAAGCATTTTGTAACACGTCTATAAGAAACAGATAAGAACTTCTCATCATCTTCTTATGAAATTCTCTAAATTGTGATAAGTGTTATATTGGTAAACAGGCAGGAAGAAAATAACAAGGATGAAAGAATATGAGTCTGATATCAGAAGTACGCCGGATCAGCTAATGTTGCTAGACATGCTAAGGAGCAAAAATATTCCCAAGCAAAAATGACTCAATTTTTTGGATTATTTATCTAGATTCAGCTCCACGTATATCTAGATGCACGATGTTACAAAATCAGAAACCCTGTCTCTCGAAACGAACTGGCGAAAAAGAATCACTGAGGAAAGCCTAGTTACACACGATACACATGGAAAATCATTGAATGACATTAAATTTCGATTAAATATTTTTACATAAATAGTAATTATTAGTCTCTTTCTTCCCTTTCGATCTATGAAGTTATAGTCGTGAATTTTATAATCTCAATACAAGAATTAATACAATCTTATCTCATATTCATCTCTATTTTGATCTTAACGCTGATGATGACTGTTCTCCATTAATTATATATGCATTTGAACAGTAGATATATTCGTTGAGACTATCTTCTAATGCCATTACAGTATTCTATTCAACGTTCACTTTGACACAATTCAATAACTTGAGTAAATTAAAATTAGTTGACATATCGAGTGAACAATATGATCATATTACTTTAGAATTATTAACATTAAAAAACATTCAAAATATCTGGATCTAACAACATCTGTCAAAGGTGGGTCGTACAACTGTGATCAAATATTGAAGATTTTAACACTGAAGAGTTGTTACTTAGGTTTTTATTACCTAGATTGTTTGCGTTTTTCTATGTCAACATCAATATTTACCCGAAAACAAACTTAACTTGGTAGTATTAATATTGAGCCATTGTTTTCTTCATCATCTTTTGACGACCGTCCAATTACTGCTAAACGCTTTAATTTTGGCATGTGTAGTAAAAATTTGTAGACGTCATCGACATAAAGTAGTTTAATTATTAAGTGTTCGACTGAAGAGGTCGACTGATAATTAGAGAATGTGGTACTTGGAACTTTGAACGTTTAGACTCATTACTAATTTGTTTTCCAAAACTAAATTCTTTCGAATTTATGAATTACGGGAATGATTTTAGAGATGACCATTGGTGGTAGAGGACGCTTTGTAAATTAACAAATTTAAAAAGATTTCGGTACTCTTACAAACTGTGGAACAAGTATCAACCGCGAAATGCTCCACACTTTATTGAACACTTTGTTAAATAATTTCAAACACCATTTTGGCTAAAGGAGCACGAAGAATGAAATTTAAAATGTATAAAAAGGGATAATCTTATTCGTATTGATGCTTGAAAATACAATAAATCTTAAATCTTTGAATGTTACCTTTCATTTTACAACAAGAAAGTTGAGACACAAGAAATCTTACAAAATCATAGACTATTTTGTTTAGATGAACATTATCATCATGCAAAAGACATCAAGCTCATTTTATACATTTCCCAGCATGAAAAAATAAGTTAGCTTGATAACCTTTTGCAAAAAGAAATATAAATAACATACGCTAACAAAAAACGCTAACACGTTTCAAATATAAGTGTTGAAACGAGATTGAACTCAGTGCAATTTTGACGATGAAAAATATTTTCTGGAAGTATTTTGAGAAGAGGCAATTGTACGTCGCTAGCTCCAAGTGTCCGCTTTGAGATAAACAAAAAAATTTGACTGTATCTGTTAAGATAGATGAAGTGCATTGTTGCGAGTTAACATACGTCAGTGTTTTGAGAAAAGCGTATAGAAGAAAGTAGTATAAAAAAGCTATTATTTCTACGATCTTCATCCTTCAAATAGCGAAAATCACACAGTAAAGAAAGCACATGAGAGAAAAATATAAAAGATAAAAATTTCATCTATTTGCGCACACAAAGCATATATAAAGAGATAACAATGTACAACTAGAATCTATTCCCTGACGATTCAAGTACCATTTACTTTTCTTCTTTTGTCTTCTTCTCCTTGCATTTGCTAATCATCTTCTTCGATTGGATTGGATTGTTGTTCATGTTCTTTCACTTGACTAGAATACGCTTCTCTTCGAGCTACGCGAAATATATTAAAAATAGCTGAGCGAACGGCGGCTGCGGGAGTCACATGGTCATTAGGAAAACAAAGTTCTGAAAATTCTGAAATATAAGAAAAAGAGGGATACCCTCAAATTTCGTTATTGTTGAATAGTCACATACTGATTATTAAATCAACAGTTGCCTGCGGAATTGTTTTGGCAGGTAATGTTTTTAACTCATTTTCATCAAAACACAACTTGGTAAAATGACATGCTGTTGTTGTTTTGTTGGGTTTTATCGTTTGTCGAACTTCTTCAGACGATGAATGTGATAATAAAATGAATTTTGCTAACTGATTATCAGTCAACAATTCTGGTTGTAAATTTGCCATTAATTCAGCGGTTTGTTTCAACCATTCTTGTACGGGCAGTGGAGTGTATGCTAAAAAAATGAAAACTTTAAAATAAATTACATAGTTAGTTTGTTATTGTGTGATATAATTACGAATGGAGTTTTGCTCTTGTGTTTTGAGTTGTTTTTTTATTTCAATAAGTTGAATATTTAACTTTGCATTCTGTTGCAGCAATTTATTGTAACGGATGGCCAATTTTGTCTCTCTTTCGATGTATTCTAACTCATCAAAATACTCTTCTTCTGCAGCGGAATCTTTTTCATTTAATTCTTCATCATCAGGACCTGAACGAGAGAGCATGTCCCGTCATCGCTGTTAGCACGAATATATTAAACTTACATGGAACAGCTGTAGTCACTATTATTTTCGGTCGTTTCCGCTTTTTTACTGGTATTGTTTGAGTCGAATTTGCGTTTTTACGTTTCTTTTCTGCACTCATTCTTGCACCGATTTGTAAACTACCTGTTGTTGTTGTTATAAAGACTGATGAGAACGAAGGTTTTTGTGGATTTAAAACAGGCACTGGTGAGTCAATACAGGCGGCTGACAGTGATAATTTTTGACTTGAATGTACGTAAGTATCTAATTTTTCGATATTCTGCTTAGTTGCAGCTAACAGACAAAGAAATAAGGAAAATTCCTTCACTCTCGCGAATAGGTTTTAGTCCTGTAAACGCGTTAAGAAAATATATACCGCCATTCACGTTAAAGCTTTTATTGACGGGTGTGTAAAAACATCTCACAACTGAAGAAATATCTTATACCTTGTATCGAAATCTTTGTTGATATTGAAGTTGGCCATTTTGCTCATCAGGTATGCTTTGGGATTCGGGAATAATCTGTTTTGGACTATGTTCTGCTAAATGCAGCAGAAGAAAAGAGAATATCGTAGAGACATGCCAGGAATGATAATTGCAATTGTAGCTGAAAGAGAAATAACTTTTATACCTGTGGTTTCATGTAGCAGTTTTTCGCTCAATTCATCGTATTCTTCACACATGCTCATTTGATCTTCACAAGTACTTTTATTACCTAAAAAGTTGCTAGCAATCAATTACAGAAAGGCGATAACACACGTAGGCTATGACACGAAATGGAATTCCATTTACACACTCCACAACCCATCTTATCTTAGTCAAGAATCTTGATTGATTAGCTTCTATCATGTCAAATCTTCGTCTCCCATCTAAAAACTCTGGCATAGCGCCATCAGACCCTAAACTTTGCATCACTCCAACCGAATCCCCAAAACTTCTATCAACCACCATTATATCTTTTTCATCTGTCCTGTGTAAAATCCTTGCTCTTCAAAAGTTTTTTTGCAATAGCAGCATTATTGTTTTTATTATCCGATAAGTACGGACCAAATACAGAAACAATATGTGCTGTAGTTGTTACTATCACCATAGGCTTAAGAAGGGATCTATGTTTGTGTAAGCTGTATAAACGACGCTGTAACTCATTATTTCGGCTTTTCTAAAATTTAGCGTTATGATTGTAGCTCTTATCTATTTATCTGACTCCTCAAATACGGCCATATAAAGTACTTTAAAGTAATACTGTCAAGATCAATCAGGAGATACTCATTATTACTGATAAAATTCTTTATTTCTTATCCTCTGGTATCTCTAATTACCTGCTCAATTTAGTGAGGTTTTACGGCTGAATATATAAACAGCTTAACATTTCTAGTTTTACTAAATTATGTTTTAATATTCCTCATCTATGTGAGCCCTACAGTGACACTAAATATTTTTGTCTGAACGAGGATAGCAAAAAGCTTATGAACAGAACGTGAGAAAATCTTACTTGAATATAAGATAATCCCATCTAGTACTAAAATAGCTGCATTTGGATCGTCCGTCAATAGTTGTGGCGCGAGTGGAGAGTTTCCATAAAAATCATCCTGAAAAACAGCTAAATGTGTACAGAACTTAATATGTGGGCGCGACCAAACTTACTTCTGCATCTTGATCCTCAGCTAGATCATCCTTTCTTCTCTTTGGCAAACTGCCAAACTGAGCTCTTAAACTAAGTCAACAAACTGAGTGCGTTCACACGAGACAAGATTGGAGAGATTCGGATTAAACTGAGTTAAAATGTGCCGTGTGCACGTGGCTTATGACGTTACCTTTAATTTTCTGCAATTTTTTAACACTACTGTATCTGCAACTCATTCTTTATGATTGTGATTGTTACCAGGATAACAATATTTTTATATAAAGTACCCGAAATTCAGAGTTCAAGCAAGACTGTTTTTCGTTTCTGTATACGCCATTATGCGTGCATGGTTATTGCAATAATTCTGGAATAAAGTCGCATATGTTGAATCTAGATCAGTTGTAGTATCAATAATAATTAAGTCATAAGTCACTTAGACCATCTACCGTATTTGTTGAGCATCAGAAAATTTGGTGCGCTGAACCAAATTAGTTAAAATTGGGCGTAGGTATGTACCGATTAATAATCGATATTCCAAATCAGTTATAAAAAGCACTTAGAGCTGCCGAATGTCTCATTTTGTAGAAAAATGTTTGCTCTACCAAACTGAAGTGCTACAAAAATTTTAATGTTATATATCGAAAACGCACTAAAATCGTAGAAAAATAATCGATAGTTGCTTCTTTCGCAATTTTGCTCGGTTTTGGAAGCTTATATTTCTGCCACAGATAACACTAAAATGTGCCTTTTGCACTTCAGTTTGGCAGAGCAAACATTTTTCTACAAAATGAGATATTCGGCAGCTCTAAGTGCTTTTTCATAACTGATTCGGAACGACTTTGCTGAATGCCCTAATATCGATTATTAACCGGTGCATGCCTAATCCCGATCGGAATAGATTTTTATATCTCAGTTGGGATATATATTCCGATCGGGACATGCTTTCTTACTGTTTTATGAAGGTAAATGATATTATGGTTAAGAAGTTGGAATCCAGTGTATTCTGGATCCCAATATTATCCAATATTATTGGTCCCAATATAGCGTTATACAATAATATTGGGATCCAATATTATTGGAGAATCAATAATATTGTACAATATCTTCAATAATGATTGGTATTGGTGCATGCTTAATTGGGCGCCAGATGCCAAATTTCGCTGTGAATCCGACAGTGGATTTTTTATAATTTCATTTTGATTTCTTTGACGTAGACGTAATCGACGTGGTTTTTCCTGAAATTTTTGTTTCTCATCGGCGCCTTTTTCTCAATCCATTAGAAAAATAAAATTTGGACAAAAATCACGATGATTATGTCGACGGCAAAGAAGAAGTCAAAATGAAATTTAAAAGAATCCACTATTGGATTCACCGCGAAATTTTGCATCCGGCATCGAATTTTCTAATTTTGCTCAGCACGGAGCGAGCACCATATTTTCTAATGAGCTAGCGCAATGAGCCTACACAACACGTATCTTTAAAACAGCCGATTGAAGCTGGCAAAACACTAACGTCCTATACTTTGTTATCCATTATGTCTCAATTGCCCGTAAGGTTAATTCAGCACAATCTAAATGATAACTTAATTAACTGTAGAAGATGAACAAACATTCATTTGGAAACAAGATACATTCTTCATGTTTTTCTCAAATGACAGTGAATTTTCATATATATTACATGACATATGACACACCAGTTTGGTCGTCATAAGTGACTGAAAAACAGGGACATATATTACATTGTAATATGGACCACTGAATATAGTTTCATATGCTTAAGATAACATTGACGATATGTGTCTCTATTATCCAGTCATTTGTGACGATCAAACCGTTACATATCGAATGTCATTTAATATATAGAAAAATCCTTGGGGATTTTTCGAGGTTTCTGGAAAACTAGTTTTTCAGAAACCGGTTAGGAAAGGGCTATGGGGAAAAACGGCTATGATATTTGGAATCAGCATGATCGACTACCTATGGTTCACTAGGTTTCGGCTCGAAAGCGATTTGACAGTTGGATATGTTCCCTCATTAGCTGCCCTCGTTCAGATCTCCATACGACGGAGAACATGATTTATTTTGCCTAAGATGCGTGCAAAAGTTGAGCAAAATGTTTTTTGAACTTATTATACATTGTTCGATAGAGCTCGTTGAACTGATTAAGAAAATATATTTTTTAAAGTTTCAAAAAATTGTTTTCATGTCGAAAAATCGAAAAAGCTCGATACAACGCAAATGCTCATGTTCTCTCTCGTATCGAGATCTGAACGGGGGCGGCTAAGATATACATATTCGTGATCAGCGTAAAAGTCTCTACAAGATAGGCTAGGTCTCATCTCCTTTCTAGGGGGTCACTCAAATATGTTTCCTCGTAAGACCTCTATTTAAAACATGTTGCGGTGTTTATATCTGTGCCTATAGTGTGTGTGTATGTAATTTTGTTGTTAACCTATGGATTTGTCGCAGTTCGCCAATTCAACGTTCGCCAATAGATGGCGAATGTTCACGAAAATTGGCGATGAGACATTCGCCAGTCTATGAGATTCGCCAATCGCCAATATGGCGAATGTCTGTTGGCGAAAGTTGAATTGGCGAACTGCGACTTTTCCTCAATCTATATCCTCCGTCCCATTTTCTGTACTGCTCTTCAGCGTTATTGTACCACTTTTTAAAAGTCATATTCTGCTTAGAGACAGTGAATTTAAATTTGGTTTAGCCTAACTGTAAAATATCTCTCTTTTTTTGTAACGGCCTACACGCTTAACAAAAAAAAAACAGAAAAAAAAACGGTCAAAAAAAAATCTGTTTAAAAAGTTCTGTAGTTTTAATATTTATAAATAGAAAAAAAGTCTTGCAAATCTGATACTCAAAGAATTATTTAACTTGGTAAAAAATATGAGTTATAAACGATTGATTACATAAAATATTTTTCTTACTGCTCTTTTCGTCCTCTTGTCTGTAGACAGACAGAATTTGACAAGTGCGAAGCCAATGTCAATAGAGATATATCTAGATATATGCATGAAAATAATACAGGAGAATAAAGTGTTGTTTTCTTTCAATTTTTCAATGAAAATCTTAATGGGTGGGTATTTTGTCATTTCTGCTTCTCAATGTTTTATCTATAATCAAGCGAAAACCAAAAACATCAAAATTTCTGTTTTTGTTACCAATGTGCCGGTTTACTATGGGTTTTTTCCACACTTCAAGCGCATATATTACTTATTCTTTCACAGTTCTTTTGTTATTTCTTTTTTTTGGAAACTTTTTCTGTCTCTAAGACTGTCGTATTATTCCAAGACTTTCTGTACCGAATACACAGGTATATTCAAAAATATAGAAAAGAATTTAAGTTAAGTAAAATCATTTTACATACAAACAGCGAGCTTTCGACACTATCACAGTATCATCATCAGGCGAATGACTTTTGAGAGAGAAGAGAGACAAATATGTAAAGAGGTTTTTCTACAAGGAATTTTCTAGTTATGATTTCTCTATTTTTCTACTATTTCTTTTTCTTTCTCTTCTAGTTGAATATGACCGTTTAGACGGTCATATTCAACTAGACGAGAAAGAAAAATGATTTTACTTAAATCCTTTTCTATATTTTTGAATATACTATGTTTCATTAAAAACGTAAAAATATCAAAAAGCATCAATATAAAAGAATACACAGGTTTGTTAAAACTTCATATAGCTCGCTGCCATTTTCGAGATATTAGTAATGTTGACAGACTTGATTAAATGTGATTTATTTCGACAGGCGTTCGATCTAGTAGCGCTCACACATAAATGTTGCCACTAGCTGCAATAAGCCTTATCAGCTTTTCAAAGCATCGGAGAAATCTCGAGTAGATGAGGAGTTACTCTCTCAGTCATGTGTAGTAGTAATAGTATTACCCAAAATACCAAAAGGTGTAGGGTGAAACAAAGGGTGTTACAAACACAAAATAAAATAGAAACAGTGTCTTCTTCGGTAGATAGTTCGTTCGATCTATCTTTGCTATGCCACTTGGATTTGTCAGTGTCTAACCCTCTAGTAACTGGTTTAAGTTAACTACGT